TCAAAATGCATGATACATGTAGATAGAAACTAGTAATATATATATATATATATATATATATAAGACAACAACAAGAAATAAACATTCAATGTAAAATACAAATACAAATAATACTTATATAAGTTGCACCCTTCAAGTCTTCACAGAGTTAAAATCACTAATTATTGATTCATTATCTATATTATCAACAAATTCTCTTTCAATATGAAGTAACTCATCACCTATCTTGTTCCAAAGTCGATTTTTAATAAGTCTCATACATGAAAAATGTCCGTTATATTATTGTTGTAGACACAGGAAGAGTTAGTACCGAACGGATTAATCTATCAATAAAGTAATATAGAATGTCAACTCAATTGTAAGTCCCTAATTATACTTCATAAACCCTAAATAATCTCCAAAATTTCAACATCAACAAATTTAGAGAAGAATTTTTTTGTAAAAAAAAAAAAATGAAGGATTGAAGATTACCTTAGTTCGCTTTTAGTAAGTCTTCAAGAACATGGGTGATCTTTGGCGTGTAGCATCAACGACATGGAATTTTGATTTTCTCTTTGGTCGAAGTCTCAAAGAGCAGGGCTCGGGTAACTCAGCAAGAGAGAATGAAATGATATTAAAGCAACTCCAGCAACAAGGTTGGGGCGCGGGTTGGGGGGTGTTTGGGCCAAAAAAGCGATTCAAGCAATAGAGGCTTGCCCGGGCAACAGGTGGACCCTAGCAGACTGAGCTGGCCCTCGAGGGAGGTTGGCCCAACTTGGAGCCCGAGTTTTGGATGATGTCAGCGCGCTTCAGTGCTGCCCATAGCCAGTAGCCACATGGTGTCGTTTGGGCTCTCAGATATGATTTTTTCCTCCAATCCAATGACAGCGAATTTTTGTGCGATAAAATAATGAAAAAAAATAGAAATTAAAAAAAAACCCAAAAATTAATGATTTTTTTTTTTATAAATACCAACCAATACTCTTCACTTTTAACACCAAATCCTCATACATTTTCATCTCTTTCAACTATTATTCACTTTCTATTTATTATTTTTTTCACTTTCAAGTTTTATTTTTCCAATTATGAGATATGAATTTTATAATAAAGATTGACACGTAGGAACCCAAAAATCTAATCCGAAAATATTATCCAAATTAATTGT